TAGTTAGAAGATAATTTTTAGACCTTGGGAGCTTGAGGTCTGAATCCATTGACTTAAATGGAGTTAATGGGAGTTGTTTGAGTTATCTAAATTTAGAGATAGAGGTTTTATGCGTCCATAAGAGTGGGCTCTCAATTATGGACGAATTTATGCATTGAAATGCCATAAATAATGGTGCTTGAGGTAGGTGGCTGCCATTGATATTAATTAATAATTGTGTTAGTGTTAGTTAGAGCTAATGAGAGCTAATGAACCTAATGGGATAATTACACTCAATAGTTGAGAGCTTTGGGTTATTAAAGTGTTGAAATTTGAGAATTAAAAGTTAGTAAATTGTGACATTGATGATGATTTTAGATTATTGGATGATATATTAAAGATTATTTAAGTTGTTGAGTGCTAAATGAAGTTAATGGGAATTAAGAAACTCATTGGATGTGTGGTTGATCTTGTAGTTGAGAAATTTAGTTACTAAAGTATGAAATTAGATGTTGAAAGTAGTGATTTTAATAATTATTAGTGATGGGTGCTAATGTAATTGTAGACTAACCTCATAATGCATCGATGAACTTGAATTTAGCTTGAAAAGCAAGTTATGATTGAGGAGTAACCTTTGATCTCTCAAAAGTTTGAGTAACCGGAAGAAACCTTATTTATATAGTTGTATATTAATTAAGTACTTGTTGAAATTTATGATTTGAAACTTGTTTGATATGTAGAAAGTTATTGATGCAATTTTAACAATGTTTAGTATTATACATGAAATGGCTTTTGAAAAATGAAGAGTTTTGTGCATGATACATATGTGTGAAGCAATGATGCCATTTTGCAATTCTGACAATATGTGGTGTTATACATAAAATGGCTTTTGAAAAATGAAGAGTTTTGTGCGTGATACATATGTGTGAAGTAATGATACCATTTGACTATGATATTGCATATATATATATATATTAGTTATGGAGTTTACTGAGAGTGAGAAATTGATATGGACATAACATGAGATTGTGATTTTGGTCACATTTGCATAATATGCATCATCTGTGTATAGCATGATCATTGACGAGAGTTCACATAGGGAGAGGAATATATTGATAAATTCATGTGGTATTGACAGTGAAAGTTAAAATTGAGAACTTACCTTGGCATCAACCATTGAAATCGGGAGTTAACTCTTATCCCGTGGTTAATTTGGGATTGTCCTACTTATTCAATGAGGGACTCGAACCTAACTAACCTCTACTGGTTATGAGGAGGCTAGATTAGGGATATGACACTATATGGTTGTTAATATTGGAGAAAACTAAATTACATAAGTGAGTAAGTTGACCGGGACCCGATAGTTCTTCACAAGTGGAAGGCTAGGTTAGTCCGTGAAGGACGTAACCACCAAATAGTCACCAGTTTTATGTTGGAGGTAATTAGGAGGGTATAAAGTTGGTATATGATCATACATCTAATCTCGACCACATGATTGTTAGTATTGTGGTTTAGTATGATTAGGGGCCTATTGTTGGTATTATTGTGATTCCAGGTTATGCATTATTGATATATATATATATATAATTATATGTTTGAAGCCCAGTCAAATGGTTGTTATTGTTGTGACCAGAGCTATACGTTATCATACATACTTTATATGTGTGTTTATTGCCAATTGCATCTGTTTTTAATTGATATGCAACTGTATAGATTAGGTAAAATTTAGTTACTGAGTGGTTGTACTTATTCCTCTATTTAATATTTTACAGGCATTAGTTTTGAGCAAGTTAAAGGAAAAGTACTAGAGGCTTGGAAACTCAGTTTCCTAATGTAGGCCTCTCGTAATTTTAGTTACATATATGTAATTAATTGATATTTCCAATTAGGATGATCATATTTTGTTATTACTTACATTATTGAATATTAAGTATTAAAATGTGTATTTTAGACTTAGTGCGTGTGGTATCTTTTTAATTGAGATATATGAACAAGGTTAAAATACTAATACAATATAAATTTGACTATATGTATGGTAGTATTGGGTTATATTGAGTTCTGAAGTCAAAATATCTCTCCCTGTTATTTCTTAAATCAAGAGGTTGAGGGTTGAAATTGTAAAATATGTGATATTTGGTTGTTGTGGTATGTTACATATGTTGTTCTAAGTCTACGAGTGTGGTCTAAGGATTGGTGTGGGCTTTTAGCACTTAGATTGAGTTTTGGACACCTAGTTGTGTTTTGAAAACATAAATGAGTGAGTTTACATTTTGGTGTTCAATTTTTGATTGAAAAATAATTTGAATTTGAAATCAGTGCCATTAGCTAGAACTTAAAAAAAGCTTTATATAAACACCTAGATCACCTTAATTGGACGTTGAATAGAGATTTGGTGCTCGTTGGAAGTTCGATTAGAAAATTTGCCATAACAGCTTGTTACTGTCACAGTTTTTACTATTTATGTTGTAGTGTAATTGTGCCAAAATTAGTTTTTGCTACTTTGATCCTAATTTGATTTTATCTTGTCTTGTATGATGTTCATGCTTCATATACATGTTTTGCTCTGATTTTATTTTTTTAAAATAATTTTATAGCATTTTAAATTTTAAAAACTTGGGATCCCATTTAGGTTATTTCTATGATTACCTTGATTTTGTGAGGTTAATTGTGGATTAGTAAGGGAAACCTTATAATATTGGTGTACACATTATTTTCAAATACTAACTTCATATAATATATTTCTTTGTTAAAGTTGACAGATTCTTTCTCTGAGCTTTTAGGAAATTTATATAAGAATATTGATTAAAAATATAGTATGCATCCTGACTAAATATTGGCCTCAATTCTAAGTTGATAACCTAATAAATGTGTACACAAATTTATTAACTAATAAAGAGGAAAAAACAAGCATTATACATTAAAATGAGATATTTAAATTTGGACTTTAGAATTTTTTAACGAGTAATCAACATTGATTGCCCAATTTTCAAGTTTAAGATAATATACTTAATAAATGATAAATATTCTTAAAAAAGAATCACAGAACATCAAGATAATTTTATATCACATTGACTGAAATATGCAATTGTTGATTGGTATGTTAAAACAAGCACATGATTGTTTTTTAAATACTTATGCATCTATTAATTATTGATCTATTCATTTAATTATTGAATTAATAATTTATTTTTTACTATTACTTATATATCCTTTTTTTTAAAGGGGTTGAGCCTCTCGGAAGCTAAATTGCGCAATCATGTCCTTTTTGAAATTGAGAAGTTGTTGTAGTCTAATGGCTGGAGCCTTGAGGATTATGAAGAAATGCCATTTCTTGAGATTTCAAGGGTAGATTTGTCAGGTAACAGGTTGATTTGCGATTAGCTGAACCATGCTAAGGTTATGCTTGCTAATGAATTACCTGAGTCATTGGAATCACTAACACTTGAACAATATAATATATATATGCTGCTATTGTGGGCTTGGTTGATGTTAGGAATGGTGGTATTTTTTTTTGGTATAATTATAGTGACATTAGTAAAACCTATATTTGGAGCACTGTCAATTTCTCCAAGATTAAGTTGTAGAATTATTCTAAATGTTGTATCAAGTGGAATAGCTTAACTATTACTACCTGGTTGCACACTCTCAAATTTGTATACTTCTTGCAATTAACGAAGATTTAGTTTGTAATGTAAAACACGGTAGTCGTCTTGTAGAGTTGATAGTTCACAGCTATTGATAATATGGGATGAGGCACCTATGGCAAGCAAATATTGCTTTGAAGCACTTGACAAAACACTGAAGGATATCTTAAAATTTCAAAATGCTTTTGTGGTTGACATGCCATTTGGTGGCAATGTTATAGTTTTTGGTGAGGATTTTAATCAAAAATTTCGAGTGATACCTAAAGGTAGGTGAGATGACATCATTTTTGTATCCATTAATTTATCCTATATATGGAAGGATTGTAAATTGATGACTCTAACTAAAAATTGCCAATAAATTCTTCTGATATGAATAGCCAGCTTAATGGTTTTGCGCAGTGGTTATTTTTGCAGGAGATAGAACAATTGTAAAAAATAATGACGTGGAGACAAAAATCACCATTCTAAATGACATTTTATTACAATGTTCATTGAGATATTGTACTTTTTAATTTGTTGACTCTTTATTTAATGTAACAAGTGGTTATATTCATACACAATGTGTATTACAAATTACCCATCACCAGATAAGCGTTTAAAATGTATCTAATGTGCCATTACCATGATTTTTTTTTCCTGTCCTTAAATATTAATCATTTACATATTAATTATGTCTTATTATTGTTTTAAGCATCTAACTACTTAATATGTCAATATTTTTCACCGTCTAATCATTAGAAGAAGTTTTAAAGATAACATCCCATGCATCACATGGGTGATTAATTAGTTAATGTTATAATAAGAGATCTAATTGTGGGAAACTGATGCCTACTTATTTGTTATAGAGTTCATTATCCCTTAACGCGGTGTTTGATATATGGTCCAGAGAGGAAGGAGGGGGGGGGGGGGGCGCAGTGATTACTTCTATTTAATGACGAAATCAACGTTGACGCAACGGGAATTTGATTCAGAGGTCCATTCTAGCACCAAATGATCATGACCTTCAATTCTCGAGAGACAAGAATGTTTACTGAACCAAAAATCCTTAGTTAATTTTATTTAATTATTGAAAATGACATCCTACCACACCAAACTCTTAAATGCAGTTTATTTAAGTATTTGCAGCCATGGTTATATAAACATTGTGGAAACATGTAGAGCGTTACAGAAGAAAATTGTAACGCGTGAGATAATATTTCAAAGAAACAAATATGCATTGTTGAATAAAACATATAATAGACTAGCGCCTAAGTCTAATTTGAGCCGAAGTTGTGTGTGTGTGTGCGCGTGCGTGTTTTTTTTTTTTTTTTGGGCAACCTCTTGCACCTACACTGAATCTGGACTCATTCGTCGGCAACTAATTACTGCGTTGTCTCCGAGTTCAAAATGATATCATTCATAATTCCACACTCTAAAAAAGAGTGAACAAGACAAAGGAGAAAAGGCAGGTTTGATTTAAAGCTAAGAGGAGCTCGTGTTTTGTACTGTTTTGCTTTTGCTTTTGGTTCTCTTGCGTATTCTTCCCACCCATTCTGGCTCGCTTTTTCAAGTTCCGACAGAAGCTCCGGTTCTCACGTCCTACCTCTTGGGCTTTTCCGACAAACGGAACAAAGTAAGAAATCAGAGAAGATCGTATTAGAGATTGAATTATATATATTAATTAATTAATTAACACTTGGGAGTCTCTTGCAAGCTGTGTAACGTGTATGTAAAACTAAAGATTGGAAGATAAAGGGATAGTGTGGGATGATAGGGATGCATTGGGCAGTTGGCGTTGGTGTTGCCAGTTGCAACGCTGATGCTTATCCAACTCCCAACTCCCAACTCCCAAATATCTTCCCCTTTTCTGAAAGCTTCATATCTTTTTAATTACTTTCTTGGACCAAGGTCTATTTAATCACTTCTGTCGTGTGCAAGAGGAAAGGAATTTTATTTGAAAAAATACGTACATCAGTTTTGAGAGTAAGCTCGGGGAAATACAAATGGAGACTGGAAATAGCAGCTCGGCAGTTTCTGAGTGTTTATCCGCTGCTAGAAAAGTCAATAAGTCCGCCAAGTACGTCACCGGCATATAGTGGCCGTCCAACCTCTTCCCTGGCTCGTTTTACTTTTCCTCGGACTTTTATGAATCTTTTCTTAAAAGGATCTTTTGCTTTGTACTCCAGAAGTCACCAAAGTCACAATGGCATTTTGCTCTCACTTCCCAATTCTATGGCTTACGCTGCTGTCTTTGCTGTGTTTGATCGTCACTTCCGGACATTTCATACCCAGATTCCCTGCTGCAGCTGCTGGGCCGGACCTTCAATCTCGCTCTTCCAAACATGCCCTTTACAAGACCAAGTTCTTCACTCAGATTCTTGACCACTTCAATTACAATCCCAATAGCTACAAGACCTTCCAACAGAGATATCTCATCTCCGATGTCCATTGGGGTGGAGCCAAGAACAAGGCTCCCATCTTCGTGTACACAGGAAATGAAGGCGACATAGAATGGTTCGCCAACAACACGGGCTTCATGTTCGAAACAGCGCCCCATTTCAATGCCCTTTTAGTCTTCATTGAGGTTAGATTCGAACGTCTTCTTTTATTTCCCAAGACATAGGTGCCTGTTCTGAATCCATTGAGTGAAAGGGAAATTTAACACTGTGCAACCCCAGATCCCCGGCTCTCACCATATTCGTTTTGATGCTCTGGAAACTGAAATGCAGCACAGATTCTATGGAAAGTCAATGCCATTCGGGGGAAATAAAGAGGTCGCGTACAGTAATAGTAGCACGCTTGGATATCTGAGCTCCGCACAGGCATTGGCTGATTACGCCACTCTGATCATTGATCTGAAGAATAATCTGTCAGCCTCTGATTCCCCTGTTGTGGTGTTTGGAGGATCCTATGGTGGAAGTATTAATATTACCTTTCTTACTTCATTCTATTTTTCAGTCTCATCCATTTTGACCTCTTTCAGTTAATTTCTAATCACTGATTCTTCCCAGCTAAATTTGTGTGAATGAGTTTTGCAGTGCTGGCGGCTTGGTTCAGAATGAAGTATCCCCACGTGGCCATCGGAGCCTTAGCATCTTCTGCCCCAATCCTCCATTTCCTGGATCTGGTTTCACCATACGCCTTTACTAACGTCATCACACAAGACTTCAAGGTTCTTCTCTCTCTAGAAGCCATCCATTATGAATTATTATTTATTTGATTTAGGTTTTGGGATACCGGATACACAAAGCAATAGAATATTATAATTTATAAGTAATCACTCACATGATATTACTAATCACTTCACCAATCTCTTTTTCTCGGTTTCATAAATTGACAATTGACATTATCTTATCTAAAGTAATCACTCACATGACACTGTTGATTATAGTGCTAATGTGTTCCCCATTTACAAATGGTGCAGAGCGAAAGTGAAAATTGTTACGAAGTGATAAAAGGATCGTGGAAACAAATAGAAGACACGGCCAACAGACACGGCGGCCTAGAACTTCTGCGGAAATCGTTCAGGATATGCAAGTGAGAACGGGGGTTTACTTCTTAAATCATATTAGTGAATTAATTAGTGATATATAATTCTGTATTGTGGGGGTGGTAGGAATTATATAAGCGCGGATGCACTGAAAGGTTGGCTCATGACGGCTTTGATGTATACGGCCATGACAGATTATCCCACGCCATCGAACTTTCTGAATCCCCTGCCTGCTCATCCAGTCAGAAAGGTGCTGCCTACTAACTACAATTAAGTATTATTAACTCTAAGACTAAGCATTGCATTGAATTATGATGTGTCGCGTGCAGATGTGCGAGGCGATCGACAGCTTAGCGCATGAAAACGACACGTTTGCAAAGCTGTACAGGGCAGCTAACATATACTACAACTCCAGCGGAACTGCCACTTGTTTTAATCTGGACGATGATTCCGATCCTCACGGTCTCGCAGGATGGCGGTGGCAGGTACCTCCACTTTCATACTCGTATCTCATGACTAGTCTTATCTCCGGAGCAGAAAATGGATAGGAAAGATAAGAATAGATAGTAACCAAGTGAACAACATAGAAACATAGCATACGGTGGAAATAGAATGCCAACCTTGAGAAGCAGTAGCAGCATGGAATCCAAGAAAGGCAAGCTCCCAGGGAGGGATGTAGTCACGTGAAAAAGTTTTTTTTTTTTTCCCAAAAAAAGAAAAAGGAAAGAAAGAAAGAAAAGAAAAGGCATGAGAGAGAATGTGAGCAAGTAATTGCTAATTAGCCATGATGAATTTAGGAAGGCGTATAATGCGATTCCACTTTCCCACAGCCAACGCACAAATCGCTCCCCAATCAGGAATCGTCTCCTTCAATAGTGGGTATATGTCAATCTCACTCTTGCATGGCAATCACATTCACACCACCTTGCCTTGACCGCATTAATATGGTTTTTTATGACTTACTGTGTTTCACGTGCCGACTCTTTCCGAAAAGATAAGCGGACTGAAAAATGCTGGTTGAGGAAAATGCATGTTGATATTATTGTCATTAGTATTAAAGGAAGATAAAGAAGGAGACATTGAATACATGGATGCAGGCGTGTACGGAGATGATAATGCCAACAGGTGGGAACAATGAGGAGAGCATATTCCCAGCCTCAGAATGGAAATACGAGAATAGAGTTGCTTTCTGCGAAGTTGCCTTCGGCACAGAGCCCAGGCCACATTGGATCACCACTCAATTTGGCGGCCTTGTTAGATCTCTGCTTCCCCTTTCCATTCAAATTGTTTGCATTTCTATCACCAATGAATTCTGTTGTTGTGTTGGTCGGAGCAGGGCATCCACAGGGTTCTGAGAACAGCTGCTAGTAACATTATCTTCTTCAATGGACTGAGAGACCCTTGGAGTGCTGGAGGGTACGACTCTACATCCATCTCTCTCTCTCTCTTATTTATTCAACACGCTTAATTACCTGAGCTAAGCCAAGGGAAATGAGGTTTTGTTGCAGGGTGGTGACGAATATATCAGACACTATAATTGCTTTGGTTGCTAAACAAGGTTCGTACTGCTCCAAATCAGCACTAATCCTTCCTTCTATAGCCCACTTATACGAGGGTAATTAATTCGTGGGCGTTAATCATGATGAGCAGGAGCCCATCACGTGGACCTGAGATTCTCCAGTAAGGAAGATCCGCCGTGGCTTACACGGATCAGGGAAGGGGAGCTCAGCATCATTTCTAGTTGGATCTCTCACTATTATCAACATCTATCCCAATGAACCGCCGCCTCGTCATTGCGATCTTCCACTCAAAATTGGCTTCTAGAAACGTTTCGGGCAGATATTTCTTTTGGTTTATTGGGCCAATAAATTTGCTCCCAATTTAATGACTTCATTTGGTTCAGGCCCATACAAACATAATGAACTCGAACTGAACTACTTTAATAGAAGTTGGTTAATATTGGGCCTCCTATCTTACTTTCGGTTCAATTTTTACGCTGGTGAGGACTTCCATATTGGATTTGAACCTACAAAGCATTTCCCGGGCATCTCACTTGCACCCGGATTTCTTGATGTCCATCAATACTGAGTTATATTTCTTGATTTGAACCTACTTATATTTTTTCCCCCATATCGTAAACGGGAAACCTGAATTAAATTAAATGTTTACAAATGCACCATATTTTGTTATACTGAGTTACTAACTAATTCACGAGTAAAAGTTTGTTGTTTACAATTTTCGTATGAGGAATGCGATCGTAAAAATTTTCGCACGCTATGAGCTTGTTCCTTTTCTAGTTCACGAGTAGAAAATTTTACGCTAAGGCCTTCTATAATATCTGGTACTGTTAAGGAGAAATATGAGGAATGGAGTGTTGATAAAAAAAGAATACTAAAAAATGTGGAGAATGTGAAGATGTCTCCCGTCTGGTCCCCTCTCAATGTCTTATGCCCCTCGAACAGCATACCAAATGAATTAATGTAGTTCACCACGGAAGAAAATTAAAATCCCTGGCTTATTGCTGCAGAAAAGAATAGGGAAGGAGGTGTAGAGACATAAGAGGATAAAGATAGAAAAAAAGTACAGACAGAAGAGAGAAACCCATAGGTAAGCAAATTAATATATATATTTTTTTCGCTTAAAAAAACATACAAAACAAATATGTTAAGTCGCTGTTCATAGATTTTAACTTTTAATCCAATCTCATAAATAAAATATTAAAACATAACATTTATAAATTCTAATAATTAAATGCAAATATTATAAAATAATTTAAAAAATAATCTAATAATATAAAAGATTTCATTTATTTAAATCAAATCTTAAAATCATTCTGATAAAATAAAAATTTAATTGAATTAATTCTTTATCCTATCACTTACTCCCTCCATTTAAAAATGTAATGCATTTTTAACTGAATTTCGTTCCCAATGTAATAGTCATTTATTTTTAAACTAATCCTATCTTTTTATATTTACTTTTATAAACACCTTAAAATAAATATAAAATAATTTATTTAGTAGGAGCGCTTTAAAAAAATAATAATTACATTTTAAAAGATTACAAATACTTTATACTCCCTCCGATCCATAATATTAGGCGTTTTCTAGAAGGAAATTCTGGTCCACAATATAAGTCACCAAGAGATGATGACTATGCATTTTAGATTGAAGTTCTGAAAATACCCTTAGTGGTATGACATTTCTGACGCCTGCTTGTGTCTGTGGCTCAGCTTTCTCTCTCTCTCTTCAAGTCGTGCTTGTTCTCTCATTGTGTTCAGTCTCCGTCGTCAATCGCTTTTCTCATTCTTCCCGTTAGCTCTCGCCTCATCGATGATCGGCTTTCATTTCTAACTTTCCTCTTCCATCGTGGTCTACCTCGGACTCGCCTTGAAAGGAGTGGTTTGAAATGTTGATGGATCTTCACAGTTCAAGCTCAATGAAAAAGGGCTTTGAAGATTTGTCATGGGATGAGCTAATAGGCTGTATAGTCGACGATTCTCTTGATGGGGAAGAAGATATACCCCGAGTCAACTTCTCTAAAGAGGTGACGTCTTTGAATCGAAAGATTTTGTGGGCACCTCATCCGAAGGATTCTCTTGGGTCTTTCAATTTTTCTAACATTGAGGTGGTGTAGCAAAAGCAAGTCCAGTCCTCTGATTTGAATGAAGAGGCAATGAAGGACAGTGAAAAAGTGAGTAGCAACAAAGGTAACGGCACATCTGACCGGGGAAGAGAAAGAAAAAAGAGGAAGATTATGCGCATCTGACCGAGGAAGAGAAAGCTCGTAAGCAATTTGTATACAATACTTTTCATTATATGCTCTGATTAGTGTTGAATTTCTAGGCCTTCTATAGTTCTATGTAATTTTAATTAGTCCAAACTTTAAGCTTATTCTGACACATAATAGTTTAGTTTATTTTGGTTAGACTAAAGTTGCATGTCAATGATCTTCTTTTTTAGTTAGTCTGATGGATGAATGTATTGACATTTTAGCCACTTCTGCGTCTCTATTATATTAGAATGATAGATGATGATATTTGAACTAATGGCAGGTGTTTTAAATTAGCGAGCTTTTTATTTTTTTTTGAATTAGCAAGCTTTTTGTTTTAGTGAGCTTTTGCATCTCTGTTATGGTAGAGATTATAAATAGCTAGGAAATTACAAATGGATAGGCAGTGTCAATATGCAGTGCTGAATATTTAGCCCTTTCATAATTGTGGAGTTAATTTGAATCCCTAAAATTTTTTCTTCTTTAATTTGATATGTAGCATCAATATGCATTGTCAATATAGAAATTGTTGGCAAATTATAAACTACCCACTTCATACACAAATTGCTTCATTTACTATAAAATATTAACTGTTAATATTATGTGTTGCAATTTACATGAAAAATTGTAACGCAAAATATTAATGACCAAAACATTGACGGTTCACAAAAATATTCACCCCTTAATCTAAGCTATCTATCCACTTTTTCTAAGTGCTCTAACACTTCTTAGATTGGATAGGGATCATACTTGAGTTGATTAGGCAATTCACCCCTTCTTTCTATCACATCCTTCTTCAAATGGCTTGGCTTGTGTTTATTTAAACCTTTGTCCTTCATAATATCAATCATAGTAGCTTGTAGTTTTAGGAAGATCCTATTCAATTGCTTAGATGTGTAAAGTTTAAAGGAATTCTCCACAGCTCTAATAAGGTCCTCTATAGTTTTAGGTGCCTCTTGATATTGTAGTGTTTGAATTGCTCTAAAGTATCCAAGATCCAAAATGTTTAAATTAAGGGAGTTGGGGGGTTGAGAAATCAAGTGAATATCAAACCCATCATCACTTACTGCCATGGGAAAATCCTCATCATTGTTATCAATATGACAATGAGCATTATCTTGCTGAACAAAAATAGTTTCATTTGCATGACATGTTGGCCATTTGGCTTTGATTTTTGGTAGCGCTTTGTCAATAAGGAAAGACTTCATGACTTCTTTTGTAATTGAAGTGATCGGTTTTGTTTCCATTGTCCCTCTACTCCTGTTCACACTCCTTCTTCTTCTGCCTCTTCTTTAATAAAAGGGAACAAACTAATCTTCCCAGAGAAAATTTCATTTTCTTGTACATCAAATCTAGATCTAGCCACAGCAACTAGGAACATAATTTTACCAACATAGTTCTTGTTTTTACATGTTCGATGTGGTGGCTCCTCCCTTGCTGCCAAGTAGTAGGTTTGGGATTTTTTTGTCATGTAAAACCAATTTTCACCAATATGGATAATGTTGTGCATAGATTGAAAAGTTAGGTCATTTGGTATACTTTGTTGTTCTAGCATAGATAAACACCACCTCAACCGAGCAAGCATGTTTTGCTCTTTCAAATATAGTTTGATTGCACTTGTGTAGCGCCATAGAACTCCTTTTTTTAAGTCTGATTAGTGATGTCTTGTTAACACCTAGAATACTTGCAAGAGACCTATAAGTAGTCCGTAGATGTACTGGAATTGCCATGACTTGTTCCATGTTCACATTAGGTCCCTTTCTTCCACACTTGTTTGTCTTTCTATGGCTTGCATCCCCTATTTCCTTAACTTGACGCCAAATGCGTTGAATGACTCTGATTGAAACTGAATATACTGAAGCTATCTCTCTTATTGTAATACTATTCAGTTTACCTCGATAGCTTGAGTTTAATAAGATCTTGTAAATGGAGACACGTTCTTTATTTGATAAGAACCTTCTTCTTTTACATGGTGGCTGCCCTGGCGATTCAATTGTGTTGCATCCCACATCTGTCTCTGTTTTAAAAGTTTACAAATGTTAGATTTCTTGATAGACCATATAATCTAAAAAACTTTTTTCTCCTTTTTTGCAAAAAAAATGAGAATTTATAAAAGTTGCTGTGGGTGAGCTTCTAAAACTGTGAAGATACCAATTAAACACAAAAGTTTCTGTGGGTGAGTTTCTAAGACTATCAGGATATCGATTGAGCATAAACCAAGGTATAAATTTTCTTTTTGAATCGTTGCATAGAAATGGAAAAGATTGATGTTGTTGCTTACCTTGAAAAATGAAATTTAGAATGTCTAGTTGTGTCAGCAGTTTTATTTGTTGAGTGGTGACATTGTGGTTGAATGAGATATAAAGTTTTAGGACTATTTTATTTATTCGATAGTGTTTATTTCTGGTGTCAGCTGTTCCATTCTCTGATAGTGTTTATTCATTGAAGTAGTTTGATCATAGGAAACAGTTTAGTTGGTAGAGATTTGATGACATTTAGATAGGTTGATTTCGTAGACTAATATTTCAATAAAGAATAAAGTAGTATAAGAGATTAAGAAATGCTAGCTGAACTCTTATCCCTCACTGCTTCCTAATTAGCCTATTTTTATAGATTAAGAAAATATGGAGGATGTTAGTATAAGAGAAAGAAAAAAATCGAAGCTAGGAATTGTGATTTTTGTTTCTTTAATTGGAATTATAGGTTTTTTCTGGACAATATACATGTGGGAAATGCTAGCTGAACTCTTGGTTAATAATGATATGACATAGTTAAGAATGATATGAAGGTGTTTAATAATGATCTTGGTTCCATTTATTTATGGACTTATTTCATGTTATAACATAGTCAGTGACCAATATTCTTGATTTACTATACTCTAAAACTTCATGAAAGATTGAATGCTTGAAAAGTTTCATTCTCTCATGCTTGTAATTCAGTTCCTTTACTGCTTCTATCATTCAATCCCACTTATCATATAACAAATCAACTGTAGCCTTATCAGCATTAAAGACTTGACATTTTCAGGTCTAGCCTCTTCAATTACTTGTTTCATCAAGTTAGCCATGTAGGATTCGCCCTTATACTCTTTAAAGTTTAAACCCAGCAAGTTATATTTCCTAGTCCTATTTCATTGGTTTATTTATACTTAGCATCATGATGGCACTTTCTTGGCCAGCCTTATCTTCAAATATTTTGATATTTAACCCGTGCAATGCACAAGAGGTAAGAAATTTTTTTTATTTAATTTAAAGCATTATCAAGAGGAGAAAAGTGGTAGAAGATTTTGGTTTATTTAACTTAATTATTATTTAATGTTAGCTGAACATAAATAATTTAAGAGAAAAATAAAGAAGAAGAAACAATTTCGATCATTAAAAGAAGAAATAACAAAAGATGGGGATATTTATGTGGATATTCAAGGGCTTCATAAAGAGAGAGATTCTTACCATTTCCTTCATTGATTGTAACATGTTGCTCTTTCTCACACATGAGATGAGCATTTAAGTCTAAAGAAATGGCGTTGTTATCTTCACTATCTTCCTCATTAGCTGGAGCTTTTAAATCAAAGGAGAAGGAGCACTTTTCCATGGTGGAAAAGTGCAGTTTCTGTGCCTTTCTTTTATGTTATTTTCAATGCTGTCTGATTCCCTTTTAGTGGGATATAAGTTTCTCAAAATGTGAAACACTGCCTCTACTTTTTCATTCCTGCGAGAAGGCTCAATTTTTAATTGTAAAAGTCTCATTTTCACTGTAAAAGGCTCTATTCCCGCCAGAAGTCTCATACTGTCACTGTAAAAGTCTCATACTTGATAAAGCATGAAAGAGAAATTCTGAAAATAATAATTTATTCATTGATTGTACTTTTGCCTTTTTCATTTGGAAGGGTAAATTTGAAATTTTATTGACAATTATTTTTTGTACTTTTATTATATTGGTATTGGTGAGATTAGTAGAAGTGACTTATAAATAAGATCGAAGAGAGTACTTTTTAATATTTAATTTTTTAAAAAATATTTTATATTTTTAATTGGAGGCAGTAAACGTACAAAATCCACAAGTGCATTTTTATACTCCCCCAAATATCCAACGGTCGTCTGATGTCAAATCAGGCTTTTATTACTATAAAAATGGTGTTACCAGGCGGTTTGCTAGAATTGGATGGGTGTAGTTAAATTTTTCTTTGACAATCATATGCCGCGCTCGAATCAATCCTGTTTCAACTGTCAAGAAGTCAAGCCTATAGCCTACTCCTTCAATTTATTTATATATATATAAATTATATGACACAGATTAAAAAAATTAATTAATCATAATAACTATATTTAAAATTAAAAAATTAGATTAAAATACCCTATATAATTCAATATAAATATGTCTTAATTATTTTTCATTAATATAAATTATGATAAGTAATTTAAAAAATATATAATAAATACTTATTAAAATATATAATTTTGTTTATATTAAAAAAAGTAAAAAATAATATTTTTTTAACAAATAAAAATGAAATGATATATTTTATGACACTAATTTCCATGTTCTACAGACTATGAAGGGAATTGATTAGGGTGCTGATCGTATGATGAGCAATTTGAATAAAATTTGGACTCTCTAAATTCAAATGTTTTTATTTTATTTTTTATTTAATATTTATTAAAATAGAAATTATAAAATTCTTAATAAATCTACCTTATTAGTTATCTAAATAATACATATTTAATTTCAACAGTTCAATTTATATTTTTGATAAAAAATAATGAATCCAATTTAATAATAATTTTTTATAGTTTTTACAAATTTATTGTACAGATATAAGCGGAACAGTTTGAATTTAAAATTAAATTTTTTAATTTTTTATTTTAGTAATAATAATAATAATAATAATAATAAAGATAAACATAATATCAAAACCGACACTTTAAAAAAATTAAAAAAAATTATGAGCTAAAAGTTTTAAAACTGAATTATCAAAAACAATTCTCAGTAGTTAATTTATAAAAATTTTAAAAAATTTTAATATTTAATTGGATCATATGATGAAATTTATATAGTTCAAATTGAGGATAAAATAATGTTTTTTACAACTTTTAATTTAATAATTATAAAATAAAAATAAAATAAACCTTGTTAATCCGGACCGTCCAGATAATTTAAAGTTTAAACAGTCGAAATTACTCAACACATGATAAGCACCCAAATCAGACCCAGTACGAAGCCTCCAAAAACTGGAAAACCGAACATCACACCCCTAAACAATTTTAAAAAGGTTTTGAAAACTGTCCTACAAAAAAAAAAAAAAAAAAAAACTGCAGGTTGCTCGGTCAATATGTAAGAAGAGAACAAACCAAACCGATCCTTTTGTTGCCATTCTTCTGGAGCTGCAAGTTGCAAAGCTAAACGAAAACCGTGGAAAATGTGGAACCAAAAAGGAGGGTATGGAGACGGAGGTGGACCACAAAGCGTCAGGTGAGCCAAAGGAGCTTCTATCGTCATTCTGGGGACCTCACGTTTGTGCTGTTTAATGTACCTCTCAATGATGGAAGCAACTCGAATAGGTACGAACCTAAATCTCGTCCATTTCTATGAAATAATATTCCTACGCGCCCCACTCTGGAAACGCCATGCACCCACCACTCACTCCCTAATGCTGCTCCATCTCTCAAATACCTCTTCCCTCGCTTGCTTTTCTTTTCATTGCAAGGCGAAGACTTCTTATATGAATCTCTTCTTAAGACGACCTTTTGCTTTGTTCTCGAAAAGTTATCACTGGAATCACAATGGCATTTCTCTTGCAGCTCCCAATTCTATGGTTTTGTTTATTCTCTGTGCTTTGTTTGACCTTCACTTCCGGACATGTCATACCAAGATTCCCTGTTGCAGCATTTAAACCTGATGAGCCTCGCTCTTACTCTGCTAAAAATGCCCATTACGATACCAAGTTCTTCACCCAGATTCTTGATCACTTCAATTATAATCCCCAGAGCTACGAGACTTTTCAACAAAGATATCTCATCTCCGATGTCTATTGGGGTGGGGCCAAGAACAAAGCTCCCATCTTCGTCTACACAGGAAATGAAGGCGACATAGAATTGTTCGCCAATAACACAGGCTTCATGTTCGAAACGGCACCCCATTTCAAGGCCCTTTTAGTCTTCATTGAGGTTAGATTCGAACGTCTTCTTTTATTTCACAAAACATGGCTTTCTGTTCTGAATTCATTGTGTGAAAGGAAAATGAAACACTCTGCTGAACTTACTTCCCTTCCCCTGATCTGACCATATTCCTGTTTGATGCTTTGGAAACTGAAATGCAGCACAGATTCTATGGAAAATCGATGCCGTTCGGGGGAAGTATAGAGGTTGCATATAGTAACAGTAGCACACTTGGATATCTGAGCTCCACACAGGCATTAGCTGATTACGCCACTCTCATCGTTGATCTGAAGAAGAATCTGTCAGCCAGTGATTCCCCTGTTGTGGTGTTTGGAGGATCCTATGGAGGAAGTATAAATATGGCTTTCTCAACGTCATTCCTTTTTGACTTGGTTTTTAGTATAAATTTCAACTCCCTTTCGCTAACTTCTGATAAGTGATTCATCCTCATAGAATTTGTTGTTGAAATGAGTTTCGCAGTGCTGGCAGCTTGGTTTAGAATGAAGTATCCCCACGTGGCCACTGGAGCTTTGGCATCTTCAGCTCCAATCCTCCATTTTATGGACTTGGTTTCCTCATACGCCTTCAACGACGTCATTACACAAGACTTCAAGGTGTCTTCTCTGCCCAGGACCCAGCCATTATGTAATTTATTGTTTATTTACATTAGAGAAATATTTAAGCAAATAAGATACATCACGTGATTTATAGTATGTTGAATTAAAATATTTCAAATAATTTTAAATAAAATCTCATGTGACATTTTTTTAAAATTGATATCATTCATATAACATAATACATATTTTATTTTTTTTCTTTTTCTATCGTTAATATCAAAATTAACTTATGTTTAATACTATCTAAATGTCATGTTTTTATTGGACAGACCATAAATGACATGGTGCACCTGATTTTTTTAAAAATTTCTCCATCTTCGGGTGCACTATGTAGGATATGATAACAAATAAAGGATTAAATTCACTGAAATTGATATCTATCAATATTTGTGAATTTTTTTTAAAAAAATATTTTTCCTATTTATTATTTTTTAAAATATGGAATACTCTCTCTCTCTCTCTGTTTTTTTTTTTAAACAAACTTCATGGATTCTCAATCACAGAGCGTTCATACTCTAATAAGTATCGCTCACATGGAAGTTAAAACTAATGACTACACTGCCAATGTCATTTCCTTGGACATGGAAAGAAGGCTCCTCTACTTCTCCTTTAAGATAAAGGCTTAATCTAGATCATTCAGTTCAAATTTAATTTTTTTTATTTTTTTATTTTTTATTTATATTTTTAAAATAAAAATATAAAAAAATTGTAAAATTTTTTTATAAATATACTTATCAATCTGATAGTTCAGATTTAATATAAATAATCTAAATTTAATATTAAATTTTTTTAATAAATTTACTGTTCTTTTTTTTGAGTAAAAAATTTACTGTTCTATTTAGAATATTTTTACACTATCCAGAATATATTTAAAAAGTTAATTTAAATTTTTATATTAGATTTGAATCGTCTATATTAAATCTGGACTGTCAGATTAATAATTACATTTATTAAATTTTTTTAATTTTTATATATTTTTATTTTAAAAACATAAATAAAAAATAAATTTATTAAATTTAAATCTATGCCAAAAGAGAGGCAGAGTCGGCTTCTCTCAAAGGAGAGAAGCTGGCTCCCATTTCCTGCTTAATTGCACATGTCTGCAGTACGAATATCGTTGCATAAATAAGGAGTGGGTCACCTGACATTATTAATTACAGTACTAATTTTTTGGCTCGGCTACATGCGCTCGTATAATGGTACAGGAAGAAAGTGAGAATTGCTACAAAGTGATAAAAGGATCGTGGAAACAAATAGAAGACACGGCCAAAAGATCCGACGGCCTAGAGCTACTGCGGAAAACGTTCAGAATATGCGAGTACGGGTGTTTAGTTTTTGAATTAATTCATATGGAAATTCATTCCTTATTATTAACATGAATAAATAATTAATTAATTAGTCATCTATTTCTGTATTGTGCTGGCGGTAGGAATTGTCATATTAGCGGATCTGATATTGAAAACTGGATCATGACGGCTTTGATGTACACGGCCATGACAGATTATCCAACGCGTTCTGATTTTCTGAAGCCCTTGCCTGCTTATCCAGTGAAAAAGGTAAGCTCTAAACTCATGTTAATTTGCCCCCAAATGAAAGCTGAGCATGCAAAGTGGGAGAGGTGGCAGATGTGCGAGGCGATCGACAGCCCGGAGCACGGAAACGACACGTTCGCAAAGATGTACGAAGCAGTGAACATCTACTACAACTACACGGGAACTGCCACGTGCTTTAATCTGAGCGATGATTCCGATTCTCTCGGTCTCGACGGGTGGCAGTGGCAGGTACGTCAGCCTTGAAAGTTGAGACCCCAGGTTGGGGAATTTGGAGTTGGCTGATATTGATGTTTTATATGGAGGCAGGCGTGTACGGAGATGATAATGCCTACAGAAGGCAGCGACGAGGAGAGCATATTCCCAGCTTATGAATGGAGTTACCAAGACACGGCGGCTTTCTGCAACAGTATCTATAGCATAGTGCCCAGGCCCTATTGGATTTCCACTGAATTCGGAGGCCACGTTAGATCTATCACTCAATTCCTCTTGTCACCCAACTTGTTAATTTGCATTTCTATCACTAATGAACTCTGCTGTTGTGTTGGTCGGAGCAGGGCATCCAGGAGGTTCTGAGAACAGCTGCTAGCAACATTATCTTCTTCAATGGACTGAGAGACCCTTGGAGTGCTGGAGGGTACGACCCTGCATCCATCTCTCTCTAGTTTCTTTCAAATTCTGATCCTTTATTCCTGGGCTGAGCCAAGTAAGAGGAGGTTTTGTTGCAGGGTGTCGACGAATATATCGGATACAATAATTGCCTTAGTTGCTAAACAAGGTTCGTACTGCTCCAAATTAAGTTCACTCCCTCTTTCTGTTGCCCGTTATACCTGTGTGTGGTAAATTGGTAATTGTAATCATGAGCAGGAGCCCATCATGTAGACCTGAGGTTCTCCTCCGAGGAAGACGACCCGCAATGGCTTAAAGATATCAGACGACAGGAGGTCGACATCATTTCAACTTGGATCTCTCGGCATTATCAACAAATAGTCCGGCCGGCCTCCTCCTCCTCCATTTCCGACATTTGATCACCTCCTGCTCACATGAATCCCACCAGACGTTGATTCCCAGTTACCAGGAGTAATATCGTAGCTTGCTTCAACTTTCATGTATTGTCTGGAAACACCGATAAGAAAAAACCACGAGAGTGAGGTCTGATGGGAATGATATAACTACGTTTAGTATCATTTATCAGGTTATTGGATGGATTATAACATTTGGTTAAACAGTAATGCCTTTAGTACAAAAAATATATTCAAATGTTTTTAATCCGTTTAATGAAAAATTAATAAATATTGAATTTTAATTTCCTTAATTTTTAATTAAAGATGTTTTATTCCCGAGACATCTCTTGTTCTATGCTAAAAAGAAATAGTGGGAACGGTTTGTATGGAAATAGGGATCAATATATTAACACAGACAGAAGAACAAAGTACAGCAGCAAGGTACCAACAAAATTAAACAAGAAGGAAAAAAACACAATGCCTTTCACAATATACCCTCTTGAAAATTAAAAAGGTTGATTATGAAAGCCACCAAAAGAATTAAAACAAACAAAGACCTGTATTAAAAATGTTCCTAACAGGGTTATCAGGAGATGAAATGGGGAAAAAAAAAGGAAAATATCCCAATCTCTCAAGAGGAGTCTTCTAGCTTGATTGAGATCGTCTTCCAACAAAGGCATGGTTATAGAAAAATCCCTGTTCAGAAAAGGTCTACCAGAATACTTTGGTAGCCTCTATTCCAGCAAAAATCCAACCCAGAGATAAGAGTTGATATAGCAGTAGGGCATCTGGGATGGGAAATACATTTCTTGAAAAAACCAAAATCCTACTCATTGTTAATCCAAGTTGCAGCAGCACAAACAGCATCCCCTGCCCAGTTCCAATGCCAATTTTATTTGCTTATTCTTGCAGGACCATCAGTATTGAACAGAAACTTACAGCGAACCACCCAGAGCTCCCTGCAAGAATAAGCAAATAAAATTGGCCAGGGGACCTGTTTAGGGCGGCGGGGAAGGTTTGTTTTAGATTTATGTCATGGCTTCTTCATTTTCCGGGCCTCGGTCCATTTTTTAAGCCTGGTCCCATATCGAATTGGACCACTCCCCGTGCAGTCTCGAGAATTCCTCATTATCCATCTATGCACATGGTAAAGACGTAAAGCCTGGATTAAATTAAATGTTTGCAGCGGCAGCATAGTAATTTAGACTGTAATAAAATGACACAGAGTAATTAATATATATTATTATGTTGTGACTTGTGAGTTTTGTCCTTTCCAATTCACGAGTAAATGTTTCTTCGCACAAATGTGTTGTGATTGTGGTATTTTCTCCTAGTCCGTTGCGACGCTGGCGTGCCTATTCAATCCCTGGCTTTCCTGTTTTCTTCCAAAACAAGCGTGGAGGATGCAACCCATCAGGCATGGTTAGGGAGAGATGTGACGAAGGAAATATCGATTAGTAATAAAGAATGCTAAAAGTGTACTAGAAGGCACCAAAGACGTCTCCATCAGGTCCCCTAACGCGCCTCTCGAAAAGTTTGCCAAATTAGTTACTGTAGTTCACCACGGAACAAAATTAAAATCTCTGACTCGTGATGTAGCTTCTTGGCTTCTTCCACTTTCAACCGCTCGCCAATGCGTTGTAAATGCTTCTATCCATATCCAATGATTGTACGCATGATAGTAAATGAAGCTGTTAACAATATAAAAAAAAAAATATCTATTATCCGTTGGTTTGCCAGAATTGGAAGCATGTAGGAGCACTTCTGTTTCGGTGATAATCAAAGGCCATTCTCAAATCAATCCTGCTTCAATTTTCAACAAGTTAGGCGCATATTCTGACAGGTCCTGCTTTTTTAACACTCTTCGACTCACTCGTCTCTGCATTTTATATATTGTACACGTGGAATTAAATCAGCAGAAACATGGAACTATTCAAGGATCAACCAGGAATGCCGGTGATTATATTCTATGAACTCAGAAAATTCCTATCATTTCCGTGCATTGACTCTCAGGCATTATATTCCCTATCCCACCAATTTGTCTCTGTCTGCATCTTCTGTTGTAAAAGTGGCACTCTATCTACCATTACGTAGGCAGCCCTCTTAACTGCTAATCAAACCATTTAAGCTCTGTTTTTTAGGTCCCAGTCTCCGTTATTCAGGAGGGTCAGATTCATAATGTTCAAATGCATTTTAATGACATTCGTAATGTTGCAAATGATTTTGATGTTCTGTGAGACCGGGCCGCGTGGAGTAATTAATAATGACACCATTTCTTTCAGGGCAAAGTTCCTGGTTTCGAGTCAAAACCGAGGGTGTGATGCTGTCTGTCTCTTTCTCTAAGGAGAAAGGGTAACAAATATAGGAACAGGAGGCTGGACCCCATGGATCATGGCAATTGGGCCTTCGGCATGGTCCCACGTCTAGATGCAGCCCCACCCACTAGCTACAAAACCACAGGCCTACCCTCGTCACGTGCCACGTGCCAATTACCAGATTCCATCACCATTCCCTGCAGCTGCTTTCCCATACGCCTTGCGCACCAGCAGATAAGAGAGAAGCACGGAAAGAGGGGGCTTTGGGCCTCTCATCTCGTGGGCCCTAGCTGACGGCACCATATACAGTCGTCTCATGGGCCCCTACTAGGCAGGTTGTCCCACCACCCCGCATGCACGCCTACTCTGTCTACTGAAATATAACTTGGAAATTAAAAAAAATAAACTATTACGGTTTAGATATAATACTGGATGTCAAATTAAAATTATCACATTATTTTTCATCAGATTCAGATCATGAAATCATGTTATTTTCATTTTATTTACCTAGATTGAAGCTAAGTGCCTGTGGGAATAATAATCTTGTTAGCGTCGTTTTTCCAGGTATGATATGACAATCCTAGAATAAATGATGGTGTTAAGTTGTTTATAATTTAGGAATTACATGTTTTGTTAAAAAAAAAAACATTATATGGTTTGGCACAGGATTCAGGATAGAGGAGCTGACGAAAGGGCTGGTGCTGGTGCATGAATTGTCTGGGCTGCTGCATCATTCGTACAGCTGAATTTCACTGCGGGAAGGGTTTTCTATTTAAATTTTAAAATGTTGGTGATAACATATAAGAAGGCACGTGGAGTTGATGAGCTGCTTCTGACCAACACTTTCGGCACGGGGAAAGGAGTATATAGCTATTTGGTCGTTCCTGGAGTTATTGATTTTGATGGTTTCATACGTCAGTCAATGTTTCATTTCAGTAACCCTCTGGTTGGGATTGAGCTATGTGTGTAGTAAGTGCACTTCATGCGCAGCAAAGTATTACTACAACATTTTCTTGGGAGAAATACCCTACTTTCTTGGCCTCTTTAATCGTGTGCTGTACGTAATTCCTTTAACTCGGTGACTGGTCGTAGCTGATCCAATTCTGTATGTCAAACCTCTCTTTTTTTTTTTGGGTCTCCTATATTGTCCCCTTCCCCTTCTTCTATGGAAATATCAGTGACCAATACTGCATTGATCGACGAAGACGATTTTTTAAAAAAAAATGCAAATTTTGAATTCTTCGTTTTTTTATTTTGCAAATACAATGACAACGACCTTTTAGCTATTATATTTCTTCGGGTGAAAAAAAAAAATAACATCATCAAAAATTGGGATCGGAGCTCGTGACATGATTGTGCCGTGTTTGCTTTATTCTATTTCACGGAGCAAATAAACTAATACTCACGTCATCAATATTAAAACCGTGATTAACTAGCGTCGTGCAAGGGAGAGGTAAAGTGGTCAGCTCATAAAGCCACGAACCCGAGTAAGAATAAATTAAAAACGTTTAATAAAAGGACAGTATTTATTAAAATATGTTTAAACAGGGTCCTGTAGCCTTAAATTGCTAGCTGCCTTTGAATTTTACAGCATTGCCCTGGAAGGTTGTGGGTGGGTTCAGCCGACAGGCGACAGAAAATATAGTCAATGTTAAACATGATGACGCAGTATGGTAAGCAAATATTAAAACTTTGCATGCCTCCATTTTAATGATGTTAACCCATGATTATTTAGTGTTCCGGGAGATCGATCCATGCATCCACTGATCATCAATATATCTTTACATCATGAAACGCGTTCTGACACTGTATCATCAAATAAGTTCGTGTTTCAAAATTCTCAATTACATTATCATGGGTGAAGGTAATATCTTTCCTTAAATAGTAATAGCAATTGTGCTCATAACACTGCCATTTGGCGTGCTACATATGATGCCTCCGCGTCACCCTTTTCCTGCAACATTAATTATCTTAATTTAATTCTAAACATACACACATCACACTTTTACTTTTTTTTTTTTTTTTGCTGAAACGCCATCAGATCTTGAGCTGTTTGTAAATAGTCTGCGTTGAACAATAGCGTCTTTCATTATGTTTTTACTTATTTACTATTAAATCGTTATCATATGAACATAAATGTCATGTCATGTTAAAAATTAATTGTAGATGGAATTATTAACACGCGTCTTGTACTTAGTTACTTTAACCACTAGTGCTCTTTGGGGTATACTATATATACGTGCGTATATATTTGCTTCAAATTTGGCATATTTTAGCTAGGAAGAAAGGTTGATTCAGTTATAGTAAAGATTTGGCTCATTACTTACAAGATTATAGGATTAAATTTTATTGCCGATGCAAGAACATTACTGATAAATGATTTATAAGTAGTTTTGTGAATACTTTCTAAACTTAAAAGCATGTTCTAATACTAGTAATCTTAAAACCAACTCACCTAAACTTTTATAAAAAATTATAAAGATAATTTTACAACAACTTATAAGTAGTGGCAGATCTATGTGTTGTACCAAGGGTGTGCCAATGCCTCCACTGGACTCAAAATTTTAAATTCACTAGACTCAAAATAAAACATACTTATGTTCTAAGTAAAATTAAGCCTCTTAATATTTCACGCCGGCTTGACAGATTTTGAAATTTGAAACTGTTAACTGTAAATTTTATATCATTATTATTCGGTATATAAATTTATATTTATATTATTTTTATGAAAATAATAGTGTTTTATTTTTATATTTTATGCCTCGCACCGCGGACACGGATCGATAGTCTTGCGTCGGCCACTGCTTACAAGTGAACCAGGACTGAATGTACAGTTTTTCGTAATTTTCTTTACCTATTATTCTGAAGAAAGTAAAATGCACCACGCATCTTGTTAAACCAAAATCTGCCGGGACCAATGCAATCAAGCGTATTGGATCACTCATAACATGCGAAGACAGAAAAGTCTATTATTGCTTTATCAGTACTAGTTGCAGGCAACCAAAATGTGTCGAGAAGTCTAACATATGGGCCACTTGGGACGAGTGAACTACTATAAAAGTTAATGCGATATATAAACAAAGACCGAAAAGATCTTCAATTAAGTATCTATTACGGGGCATGCTTGAAATGGGTTAAGGTCCCCACTCAATTTCCAAGCTAAGTCTTAAGACTTGAGAGGCAACAAGTAATTGAATGTATAATTTCAACTGCATGGGCTAATCTCCTTTTGAATTTCTGGCTCATACTTTCCCCTTTATCCGATTCGATCGCTTCGTTTGGGGCTGTTCCTTTCAACCAGCTTCCCAATATTATGATGCATTTGCTGGAGATCTAGGGCCACTTGTATTTTTTTTTTTTAATGATAGATATTCATGAATCTGAATCCTTTTAATTTTTTTTTTACTCAAAAAGGGTCACATCTATAGTAATTAATTAATTGACTCTTAAGTGAGATAGGCCTTAAATAATTGCCGCCACCCAGCCATCTCCTCCGCCGGTACGTTGCTTACTTCATTCTAAATCAACCAGGAGGCACAAAAAAATAGCATCAAGGAGCATTGAGTAAATATTAAATATAACAACTAAGCTATCTGTGACTAATTCACGTGATAAAGGTTCCCTTGCAATTAAAATATATATATAATAATTAGGACTGCTTAACGTTAGATGTTAAGCAGCACAAAATTATATTGGTCCTTTTTTGCATTATTTTTTTTTAGAGATGATAATTAATTAAGTTGCATATCATTGAACTTGGTGAGCGCTAGAATCTCAGGTGCAAGATGCGTATCGACATGTTAGATTATGTTCACCGTTCTTAACTATTCAAATATTTCTTTGGAATTATATTACTGTTTCAATGCATGAACCTTCGCACAATCTCTGAGAATATTTAGCTTAAACCAATCAGAGAGTTCTCACAGATCAAAGGCCGGCTGGCTTGGTTCACAGAAACAGCCAGTAAGAGACAGAAACCCCCCTCATGCACAATTAGTCTTGGGCAGAGTTTTGAATGAATATCTCCATATGAGAAAGACACAGAGTTTAATCATCACAATGAACAGATCTTGCAAGGGGGAAAAAAGTCAAGTGGCCAGTTGGGGGTTTTACTTAGTGAATGAGGAATATCCAGATGTAGAAAATATATAAAATTCGAGTAATCCTCTCACTCTCTGCAATTGTCCTATTGTGTTCCCCTGGAATAAACTATAACATTTCTCTCACAATTAAGCAGTGGTCTTTCTTCATGGTCAAGAATTCCTGCACTGGGCCAGGCCAAGCAATACGAAACTTTCAGGTTTAAAATCAGAGTCTCGTCATTTTGCAGAGTGAAATTACTTGCATGTCTCAAATTTTCTTGTGTGAATTGCGTGGGGTTTGGCATTAATTGCATTCCGTGCGTTGGTGGCTTTGCTTCAATGGGACCGTCTTATTGATCTTGTAAAAGATAATGACTCATGATTGATAAAGCATATACCTGGTGTAAGACGACACAAAAAGTTTGTTTGTATTAGAGCATGAAAATAACAAAGAAAACCCTCAACACCCCTCCACAATTATGTATGTGATGTAAGTGTCTCCAACATACACTTAAACAAGCTATTGTTGAACCATTTGCAGGGCAGAGAAGGGTGTCTGAATCTACCTGGAAATTGAGGTGGGGTTCGTGTCTGATTCATACATAACACATATTATAACTCAAAACAATAAACCAGTATGAACAGGACAGAGAATACAGCTGCATGAACAAAATTAAATAGGAGAGGGAAATGATCGGATGAGAGTGTGAGGAGGTGATTGAAACACGAGTGCTGAGAGTGGAGTTAGCCAATTCTTCAATGGGACAAATCTTATCCCATCTCTCTGGCTGCTCATTGGAAAGGGAAGAAAGCATCTGTGCTCTGCTAGGATATTTTACTTGCCTATCCCCATTAATTGAACTAGGAATGGCCCTACTCCCAGCAATGCTGTCATGCGCGTGACCTCAAAACTATATATATTATAAATGCAATTTGGCGAGACCTGAATTACACCTATATGTCATGCTTATACAAAGCCAAGCCATAGGACCACCCTCGGCTCTGCTTCTCCCTAGCTACGTGCCCACTTCTTGAGTTCTCCCATAAAATATGTACGCAACCGCCCCTTCTCCACGCCACAGTGCGATTTATTTACAGAGCAAATTAAAACTAAATTCTGATAAATATTCATGAGCCCTCTACACACGTAAAAGAGTGGTACTGTGTGGAAGGGTCAGATTTGTTGGATGGAGGGGATTGAGGGTGAGAAAATGGAATGAATCTGGGAAGCAAAGGGGCAGAGGGTTAGGCCGGCTGTGGGAATAGAAATGAAAAGCAGAGTAAGTGATTACTCAGTCTGTGGAGGGAGGAGGACCCCACCACTTGATTTGTTTGCCAATTTTGTAACATGGGATGTCCCTAATTACACCAAATAATTCACCTCTTTTTCTTTCCTTCCACATTCTATAACATACATGTTCGGCCCAATTCAGTATTCTTCCATCCTTTTTTTTATTATTATCCGATCCCACTGTTACACCCTTTTGCGAACCCATCCATCTGCAATATTTATCTACAGATATTTGACGGTAAGCAACGCGCATACGGAATACTATTATACCAGTATCCAATATAAACTGAAATCAATATATTTCATAAAAAAAAAAATGTATCACTGTAACCTTTAAAGGACTCCCGTACTTACAGTTTCTCACTCACTCTCTCATTGTCATATCTTAGGTAGCTCCATCAAATTGTTCCCACAGTTTTGCTCTATCACATCAAACCCATAATCATAACGTTAGTTTCTCTGTATCTTGCTCCCAATTCCCTCTTCCCCACAGTTGTAGCGTGTTAGCGTGCTCGTCCAATCCTCAATTTCTCTGCTTGCGGCTTGACTGAAGCATAAAAAAGAATGTCCGTAAATCACTACTGGTCGGACATTCCAGAGGCCACGCTGTGGTGGGCTGAGCAACATCACCATCATCAAGGCTTCCTTATGCAACCCCTCCAAAACCCCTCTCCTTCTGCCTGGCCTTCCTACCTCTACCGTCCCCCGCCCCCGACCCGCTTCAACCTCAACCAGGATGACGACGAAGGCGAAGACGACGACAGTATTCAACACCAACGGACTGGTCACGTGGAAAACGATACGCCGCCCGCGTCGCAAGGGCGGTCGGGCGAGGACGAAAAGGAAGGGATGTTCGAGAAGCCATTGACGCCGAGCGACGTGGGGAAGCTGAACCGGCTGGTGATTCCGAAGCAGCACGCCGAGAAGTACTTCCCGCTCGGGCCGGGAGGGGAGGCCGGAGAGAGCAAGGGGGTGTCGCTGAGTTTCGAGGACGAGGCGGGCAAGTGCTGGAGGTTCCGTTACTCGTACTGGAACAGCAGCCAGAGCTACGTCCTGACTAAAGGATGGAGTCGTTACGTCAAGGACAAGCGTCTCGATGCTGGCGACGTTGTTTTCTTCCAGCGCCACCGCACCGACTCCAACCGCCTCTTCATCAACTGGAGGCGCCGCCACCAGTCTCTGTCCACCCCCGCGCACGTTAGCAGAGCGTTACTGCTTCACAATACCTCTACCACGACCGCCACTGACGCCCATAGCAATATCAATATCAATAACGATGTTGGCGTGGGTGTGGAGTGGACCAGAAGTTTCTATGCTGCACATCCTTACCCTACGCATCATCATCATCAACCCTTCCCATACCAACCTGACTGTTTTCATGCAGGTCTCTTTCTCTCTCTCTAAACTCATCGCTTTCTATCAATCAACCCTATTTTTTTCCTTTTTTTCACTGGGAATATGCTCTGTGCTTGTCTTCTTTCTCGAGGTGAAAAATGGGAAGAGCAAATGCTGTTCGCCTAAATTAATTGAAAAAGGACATGTTGATAAAATAATTTGAGTCTCGTGGGACTGCGCAAGGCGTGATGGGCATCTTCCTATTAATTGGGAGAAATGTGGTCTTGTTTTTTGGGTTTATATGATCAGATAGCCCGTCAATCTGGTCTGTGTATCGTACGCTGCGTCGTGAAGCATATACGCTCCAAATTCGTTTTGAAAAACAAAGCATTGCCATCTAGATTGGTTCCTCTGTCCCTGTGCGCAATATTTATCGTTATTTTAGTTCGAGGCCACATAAATCAATGTAGGATTATAGTATAACCCTTGTTAGGAACGAATGAAGAGACAGTTATATATAGTAAAGCACTCTGAACGCACGTGGTGTGATGTTACAGGTGGGGGGTTGGAAGCAGAGCGAAGCAAAACGACGTCGCCGGCGGAGAACAACTCCAGCTCGAAGACACTGAGGCTGTTCGGTGTAAACATGGAATGCCAACCCGACGAATCAGGATCATCCGGACCCGAATTTTCGTACATGTCATCAACGTCGTCGTCCCAGGGTACAGCCGTCCAACACCACCACATCTACGGCCATTATAATCATCAATCTGCTTATTATTCCAATCACATGGTACGTCAACAGCCTGGCTCCTAGATTCATGCCCTTGCCCTTGCCGCTGCACCTCTTCGTTAAGGATTCGATCACTTCTTGTTGTTTTCTTCAGAACTCAGGTGTAAAGAAGGCCCTTATTATAATTATAATTAGAGTTCATTTGCTAATATTGATTATTCTCATTAATGAAACAAATTATCTTACCGAATATACAGGTTCATGTTGAAGACATATACAACTGAATATAATTATATTAATAAAATACTACTATATCTGTTTCTTGTCTTAAAGAACTAGTTTATTCGTTTTGCGGGATTTTGTTGTTCCCTTTGAATGGGGCACGTATCAATTATCAACTAAGCCGTGAATGCTACACGGAACATGTTCCCGATGCAGTTTTGGCTCTTCGTATTGAGGAAGGAAAAGGAATATACGTTTAAAATAATGATAGGAGAATAAATTAAATAAATAGAAACCAAGACTCCACGAGGGTCCTCCATTTTGTGTTGGAACTATATATGAGCAGCTACCTCCACTTCACTCATGCCATGTGTGCCTTAATCACTCTTTCACCAGATGTGGTCTTCGTTTCTTTGATTCCACTACTCGTTGAAAAATTGGGAAAACTCTCTCTCGCCCCTACGAACTTCGTTTCGTCTTTAACTAGGATCAGCTGGTAGCACTGTTTGTTTCCTTTTTACCCTGACTTGTTGCCTTCGTTGTTTTTGACTTGTCTCTGTCTCTTGTAATTATTGCTGATTTTTTTGCATCCCTTCTTACCCTCTTTATCTCTCGGTTATTATTGACCACATCATCGTTTCGGTTGTTATTATTAGATAGATGGGAAGCTGTTTCCTTGCGAGCTGACTGTAGTTTTATTTTCTCTAGGACAGTTTCTTATTTAACCTGGGAGTTTGTGTAAACTACTTACCTCAGTTTTTCAACCTTTACCTACTCTGAACGTTTTGTTCACTGCGCCAAATAATCGACACCTCACTGGCTTTACAGGGATGACAAGATTGAACTGTAAAGAGCTCTTTGTTTGTGGGCCTGAACTTAAACGCTCTTTGCGAACATCATCATCAACCATATATAATTAGTTACTTTGAATTCGGCCAATAATAACCTGAAGCAAAACTCGAGCAGTAATAAAACGTACCAGTCAACGAAGTTTGGCTTCTTTCCATTAAGCTGTCAGTGCCACTTCAGATCATATTCTGGAGTAGCTTCGATGGGATTGAAATATCCCCGACAATGACATGTTTCGTCATGGATAACTGAACCAAGGGGGAAAAACTCATCACACCATGCTCTTCTGATTCGTTCTGTTAATTTCATGGGTAATTCTATTCTCCTCCGCTGAATACTTAGAAAGTAGCAACCTGTGGAGTTTGGAGCATCATTAGTCAAGTTCACTATTTTTGTACCCTCACCAAATCCCCTTGCATGATCATAGTGTTGATTTTTCAAACTGATTTCATGGAAGAAGGTTATGAAGTGCCGCACTTGTTGAGATTTTACTACTTGCCGGTCGGCAGGAGGAATCATAATTTACGGATATCTTGTTTATCCGTTGTGATTAAAATTTGAAAAAGGGTCGGTGACCAATTGAATGCTTGGATTTAGTATGTAGTATAGTATAATGTCAACCAGATGAGAAATCGCCGAGGATAAAGATCTGTGGATGTGACATTCTGAACTGACCCATTTAACCTATTTGTCGGCTTCCTCCTCAAACTCCGCAAATGTGAGAGAGAGAGAGAGAGAGTGTGTGTGTGAATAAAGTAGCCATAAAAAAGAAAGAAGTAAAACCATCCCTGATTTTCATACCAACTTTCAAGCCAAAGTGGTAGAAGTAATGGCAAGAAAGAAGCCCGACGAAGGAGGAGAATATCAGTGGCCAAAGTGTACTGGGGGGAAGTGGGGCCCATGGAGGAACGAGCTGACATAAGCAAGTGGAGAATGGAGAATTTAGGTCATTGAGGATGAGAAAGGACGAATAATGTATGAACTACTGTTGAGATTCTGCCTGAAGATTTTTCTAAAGGGCTCATCATAGTATATAAGATGGGGGATATGTTGCAGGGACATGGCGGGGCTGAGTGGGTTGGGGGGGGGTGGGTGGACTTGTTACATGTGCCGCTACGGCAATTTGAATATGGCTAAATTCATCGATGCTTGACACAAAAGCCTCCTCAACAATATTATATTATATTGAACCAAGGCTTTCAACATGATGAATACAACAGCAAGCTAATCATTTTTCTGGTCCCTCGATGTCCCATGTGATGATGGTGATAGTAACGATAAGGGAGTTGGTTATCTATCTGTTTATCTTTATTTGTCACCGGCAATTTGACATGCGGATGAAAATTAAGCAGATGGGAAGCCCCAACAAGAAGCTTAACATGATGCTTTTAACTTGGTCCCCACTCTGAATGAATGAATATGGGTCCTTCATAGCCTTTTCGCAAAATTTGATGCATTTGCACGCCATGAGCAAACAGCACCACTGAACAAATGGAGGGAGGGCGACGGACGGGTTTTAATTTCCAGACAGCCGGTAACATTATTACCAACGAGATGCAATGTTTTATCACAAAAGGGAAAAGAGAAATTTGAGATCAAAAGCGATGCAGGAAAAAGACAGGGTTAAAGCAAGTGTAAATAGTGGGTGACACAGTATGAGGTTGTCACTTGCCGCATTGAATTGTCTTGTCCGCAAATCCTTTGATTCACGGCTTCTGGCCAGTTCTCACAAAGGCATAGCGTTCCATTCTATTAGCAAAGTCATGCAAAGGCCGAAACTGTCAGAAGCAAATCAAGCGCCGATCGCTTTGGCCTCGGGACCACTTTTTGCGAGTCATTTCAACTTTTCACATCTCAGCAGATTGATTGGCGTTTCAAGCCTGAGCCATGGAACCTTAGTTGAAAGCATCCCACACGCGGCATCGAAATTCCAAATTTCGCGTACAAACAGACGCTAAGGTTTTATCAGAGGAAGATGGACACCAACGTAACACTATCCTATGAGTGTAACCTTATCGTGTGTACGACCGTCTGCTAGTGGAAACGACAGCAAGGGGTTGCGGAACGTGAGTCGTCAGTGAAGTGCTTTTGATGATCTATGATTGATCGCACTAAAATTACGAAAGCTCGCACCAGTACAAGTACTCATCCCCTCTCCTTAAACAACGTTGTGATCCAATTTCTGACGACTTAGCACGCAGTGGAGCGGCCTGCACTGATCTGATGTGATCACAAGCTGGCGTTCAAAGCGTGGCTTCAAAGCTGCGTGATGGATCCCATTTTCAAACAAGTTAGGCGCAAGTGTTGAACTAAAAAACAGGTGGCACAACTCCATTGGATGCCAAAAACGAAAAGGAATTGTATTGATCGACAACAAAGGGGCCCATAAAGCTTTACGCGAAAGGCCCATCGACCTCTCGTTTATCAGGTGTTCAATGATCCAGAGGCTCGCTCTCCAATCTGCGCGATGGTCCCCAATTACGTGGTGTTTAATCACTTGAGCATTCAACCATTGATAACGGCTAAATCTAATCAAACAAATCAAATGCCTCCGGCTAAAAGCCAGAAATTAAATATTACTCTGTCCGTTTCAAAATACGTACAAGTCTCTTCTTTTAGAAATTTTATATGTCTTTTAAAAAGTTCAGATCAGTTTTTATTAATTTTCTTGCTATACCTTCATTTACTCTAACAACTTTAAAACATCATTTATTAGTCTGCAGGGTAAATTTGACAATGCATTAATTGTATTTATAAATCAATGGGCAAATAACTTAAAAAGACGTATTTTGAAAGGAAGGGAGAAATACACAGCATGGAATGGATTAGACTTGGAGGAGTAATCAGTAATGCAATAATTTAGGAGTAGAAAACAGAGGTGACATAAAAAGGAAAGAATAATTAATGGCGAAAAGTCCGGAGAGAGGTCTCCCCATTTTTTCCTTCAATTTTTCTCCACTTTTTCCATTCTCATCATTTAAATTATTCTATTAAATAATTTTTTTAAATGATAAAATTAATGAATGATGATTATGAAGAAAGTAAAAAAAAAAAAAAGTGAAGAGGCTCTGTGACTAATTCTGCTCCCATTGCCTCCTGCATTGTGTATTCCAATTGGAAAACGCCGGGATAATCCCGCCCCGCGTCTCCTTTACAATCCACGTTGTGAAATAAAATAAAATAAAGCGGAAGGGTAGTCATTGGATCTTTGACAGTTCTAGGTCTGATCACTGCCCAGCTAAGTCTCACCCCATTAGTACAGAACATATGTGCTTTCTATAGATATTCACGCCTTCAATGACATCGCACTGGCAATCCAAAACTCAATGCTTCTACAAGACTTGCAACAAATCTGGGTTAGCAGTCAACCAAAACATCTCAAGACTTTAAGCCCTTTCCTTTACTATGAGAGGAGATATTAATTTTAATTTTATTTATGAAATACTTTATTATTTTTTATATTCATCTTTATTTATGTGCTTTTATTAAATGCTGATAAAAAATTCTTAAAAATATTTTTTTTATACTTATAAGGTGGAAACTTGTTAAATTTTGAAACATAATTAATAAGATTTAATGTTTTTATTAATTGTAGTGAAATATGTTTAAAGTAACTTGTAAATAAGAATAGAAGAAGTATTTCTTAAAAACTCACATTAGTATTGTAAATCAGCAAATGCAAGCTTTATCATACGTAATGGGCCAATTTAGCAGTCTCGCCAACCGAAAGCTGGAGTTGCAAATAATCCGTCGGGACCTTAATCTTTGTCTGATCTTTCATCTCGCGCCAGTCAATTTCATTCATCTCAGGCTCCTCAATCAAACCAACAACTATTCATTCTTACATCTCATGACTCAATTTGTCTGCCACATACATTTTTTCAAAGGGAAAGATAGCATCCCATTACAGAAGATGCTGTGTCGCAAATAGTTTCATGCTGAAAATCAGGTCGCCTATAGCCAAACGAACTGGCCAGATGCCAAGACAATACCACATTGGATTCAAACAATAGCTCCAACAAACTACAGCAAAATATTGTTGCCTTGGGCATGCTGACAATTCAAGCCACAATCTAGAGGCCGTCAAGTAACTATCAGTATTCCATATTTCATTCTTAAGAAGGTGCTTTCTTGTCGGATAAAATAAGGAACCGAAAAAAAGTACCAATAGTTTTAAGAAAGAACTTGTTTTGGTAATTATTTTCCATACACCTTGCGGGTATAGGGCGAGGTGACGTGGTCAGGATGCAGAACCGAGTTTGCTTCCGCCGGTACACAGAACAGACCAACGATGTGAAACCAAAAGATCAAGCTTATAAATTACATTGAAGACGTCTATTTAATTATTTATAGATACCAATAGTTTACATGTTACCTAAATGCAAGCTTGGAATAATCCAATTACAAGAACCTTCGTCTTGCCCTACTTTTCTCAAAAAAATTAAGGGTATGGATGGTTCATGGAAAAACAAAAAACTTGAAGAAAGGAAGGAGTAAAGAGACATATTTTTGTGATTGACATTGATGGATGGCAAAAAAGTCTTTTCCTATATCTATGGGAGAAAATTTCTCCCTCTCTTTCCCATTCTTTTTTACACAGGCCAGCCGTGACTTCTTCAGCATACAGTCTTGCAGTGATTGTGAAACTATTACAGGGCCCATATGGTCAGCCACTATCTAAACAGCATTAACAATCACGACAGTAACTGAAGACAGGACAACCAAATTAGAGAAAGCAACCAAAATACACCTAAATTTGGAAACATTTATGGGAATGTAAAATAAAACCCTTGAATACAAGGGGATTGCCACTAATTTCTCGAAAGATGAGTGCCTTGTACTAAATGACTGACAGATGTGCTGGATAAGAGCTAACAACTTGCCACCTATAAAAAAAGTTCAAGTTGATTTTTTGACTACGTCGCCATGTTCAGGTTTGGAATCTTCCTTCTTCTCCATTACATGCTGAATGGCATCGTCAGGTTTAGCATCTCCCTTCTTCTCCATCACTTGCTGATTAGCATCTTCTGGTTCATAATCTTCCTTCTTCTCCATGACTTGCTGAGTGGCATTTTCAGGATTATAATCTTCCTTTTTCTCCATCACTCCCTGAACCCCCTCTTGGTACCCTTCTATAAAACTTTTGAGAGCATCTCTATAAGCAGAAGCTCTGGTCATATATATACGCTGCAAAGCAGGTCTAAGAGTCTCCATTCCCCCTCTGGCAGCCACAGCTATTTATTTCACAATAAAAAGATAGAGAAAAAATTTATAGGAAAGATAAAATACTGAAAAAAAGAAAAACAAGCAAAAGGGGAAATTCTTAAACCAAACCAACCATCGCAACAAATTGAACTCAAATGCATGGAGCAACATGAACAGCAAGAACAGAGAGTTCTACATAATTTTTAGAAAGATGCCATTTTTTCCTCTGCCATGACTTCGTCAGGATTAGTCTCCCCATCATCGTTGTCCAGGAAAAAATTGAAAAAGTTTTTTCCACCACTGAAAAAACATATTTATACCTCAAAATGCTGAAATGTTCGAGAACAAATATTCACCATTAGTTCCTAACTGTTACATGCACCTCATTCAACAACTCCCAAGCCCCAGCTGGCTAAAATTGGGTACAACTGTACAAGAATCAAAACAATTTAAAAAGTCAGTTTTTTAAAATTTAATCAAGTCCCTCTGCCTGTTATATTGTGTTACAATTGCATTAAGTTTTTACAGACTATTCTGGCTAGGAAAATGAAAAGGGAACAATCACGTTTTAAAGGGAAACAAAAACAGAGCAAACTGCAGTTTCATAGAGTAATTTGTGGATTTTTGTTATACAATCATACAAGAGGATTTTGTCATTTCAGTTTATTTAATTAACAGCAACTTCCGTTGGCACTTCTGATTTGGTTGGTACATTATAGAATAACAAAATTCTAAATGCTTTCACATGCAGAAATCAGTCTCCCTTAGTCTTCATACCTTCAAAACTGAAAGAAAACTTGCTTCAAGATGTGTATTGTCTACAGTAGGCAATACAAGACCTCTTCAGTACATGCACGATGATAGGAAACATGTATTCTACTTTCACTATTAATATTCTTAATTTTTGGTAAACCAACAATTCAAACAACATGATAATATTGATCTTAATTAAGAGAGATCATACCAAGATCCTCCAGGATAGAGGGTTCTCTTTCTTGGGGAGTTTTCTTTCCTTTATTAGCTTCGTCAGTCAATCCGCCTTTCTTATATTCATGCGGCCGAAGATCAGGACCGATGTCCCGAACCCAGCTTGCGGCGTAAAGCCTAGCCGCCGTCTTCAAAACCTAAGGAATGAAAATAGTAAGTGTAAAGAACCATGTCAATTGGCACACAGCTATGAAACTTGTCGACCATATATCAAAGACCAAATAACCAAAATAAGGCATGTTTAAAATTCGTCTCAAGTGCAGCGTGATGCTTAGAAATATGACAAAACAGAGAAAAGAAACAAACGCCCAAATCAAGAATGCGGAAGTTAATATACTCATGTAGCAATTGGAGTAGGCGAACATCGTGGGACAACGATGAATCCTAGCCTCACTGGTTTCCGAAATTATGGATATTTATAAGGAAAATTAGCAGCCCAGAATCAAAAGCCAGAACCGTGGGCCGCGAAACAGTGTGGAAGCCAAAATAATGTGGGAGAATGAAATGCATTACCCAAATGCGCTCCTGCCAGTTCAACTTCCGACGCTCTTTAACGAGATGAGGAGGATCGGGCAAGGACGAGGGGAAAGCAATTTCTTTGAGATCATAGCGAATGTAATCATAAATTTTCCTGCAGACTACCCTCACTTTCATTTTCAAAGAGCAAAATTACTCCTGTTGAGTTCGCTCGGCACGCCTTCTCTACGGTTGCAGGAGAACCGAGCAAACCCCACGTAACGATTGGGGGGCATCAAATTTCATCCACTTGGTTCGGACTTTAAATATTCATACTATTCGGGTCGGGTCGAATGTAATCCTCTCTTTCCTATGTGTTTCAAAATATATATTAAAAAATAATTTAAATTTTTACATCAAATTTAAATAATCTAAATTAAATTTAAACTATTAAATTAATAAGTATATTTATTAAATTTTTTTATATTTTTTATTTTAAAAATATAAATAAATAATAAAAATATTAAATTTAAACCATCTAACTTTTTTTCTACCTCTTTTGAGAGGTAGAGGAAGTTTCCCTCCTTCAAATAGGGCAACTTCTCTTCAGACTTCGCCGTGTGAGTGTGATTAAATATTGAATAACTAATTTACGTAGACTTAAAAAAATTAAGTTTAAATTATTTAGATTCAAAAATATATGAATAGATTGACGTCTCTTTAATATATGTAATTGATATGAATAATTTAGAATAAAATTGGGAGAAAATGGGATTAAAATTTTACATTTCCAGAGTAAATCTCTCAATTAGTTTCTCCTGAAAAATATTTCTTTAAAAAGATCGAAACAGTTAAAAAAATAATATTTCCTTATCCTTTCCTATTTTTACTTATAATGTGCTGAAAATTTAAACAACTGACTCGCACATTTCTTCTGTATTTGCCAGGACTTACATATTTAGTATTCCTTCGTTATTTGCCCTAGAGCAAATCTTACATATTTCATTTTAAATGGCCCCTTTTATGTAGAAATAATTCTCAAATGGTTTAAAGTAAAATTATCAATTAAAGCTAAGCCTGTCGAGTGAGCCCTTTTAAGTTTAAAAAAAATCTTAAGATTGAGTTATTTTTTTTAGGCATAAAATGGTAAATCGAGCTTAAAGAGTTGGCCCTTTTAGATCCTCACATTTTTTTAAAAATTTAATGTAAAAAATAAACATTACATACTAAAAGTAAAAAAAAATTAGAAAACTAAAAACTCTAGCTTGCCTCCCTCATGGTCGTTTGATTTCTTTCATTTATGTTCCTTGCATAGTATTGAGTTGAATGTTAACTTATTATTATCAGTTTACTTTAAATATTTTTGCATATTTTAAATATATTAAAATTATGTTTTTGGTTTATTATTTGTTGCAAATAATGATGTTGATGAAGGAATATATAAAAAGCTTAATGTCTTTGCCACTAATAAGATATCATAATGAGAATGATCAAATTCTATTGACGTTGATGACAATGAAAATTTTTAAGATTTAGCCGATGATATTAATATCGATGTTAATTTTGTGATGTTGCTACTCTTGATTAGACTTAAATGTGTTTTTACGTGTATTGTCTTAAATTTATTTTTCTAAATTTAACGTGACATATAATAACATTTTTAGAATTTTAAATATATTTTTTAGATTTTAAAATTGAAACATGAAAAATATATGCACAAGGACAAGGCCCTGAGAGCCAAAATCAGGTTGTCAAAATTAAATTCTAAAATATAATTGAGCTTGACAAGGTTAATTCGTTTGAGTCATGATCCTTCACGGGTCAATCATAATTAACAAGTCTAGTGGTATATTTTAAAGTTTTAGATCAGAAAAGAATATCAAACACTGAAATTCACCCACCCAACTGGGCGGATCAATGTAGGGCGAAAACTCTGGGTAGATCGGCCCATTGATCGAACTGGGTATAATTCCCAACTGAATCAAAACCATGCTCACATGCTGTTGCATCCTCAATTTTGGTTCAGAAAGGCCCAAAAACAATTGTAAGAAGGTTTGAATTGTTTTCTTTAGGCGAAGCAAGGCTAACACTAGTTGGAAACGGGAAGACATGCATCTCGTCACAGCAAGATTTACGTTGTGCTTGATAAGAGGGGAAAAAAAAACATAGGAGAAGGAAAAAGTAAAAGAGAAAAGTAGAGAAAAAATGCTTTTTTTTTTACTTGACAAAGGAAAGAAAAATGAGAGAGCGAAGAAATCGAGAGAAAAATAATATGTGAGACTACATTATTTTTCCTTCCAATTTTCTTTTCACATATGGGGATATTTAGAAGGAAAAGCTCAATTTTTAAATTTACTCATAAATCTCTCTGTCTCTTGCTCACTCCCTTCCTTCTTTTTTATCCTAATTTTCCCCTCATTTTAGAATTTACATTATTATATATTTAATAATTTAATAAATAAAAATTAAATTGGACAAAATAACTTATTTGCTAGCATTGAATAAAAGGAATTTATAATTATGTTTTTGATATGTTAAGATATTAAATTTATTATAAATACAAATACTTTTTTAAAAAATAATAAGATTATTATTATCCATATAAAATTAATAATTTTTATCCCTCGTTTTCTCTCATTGAGCCAGGCATAAAAAGAGAAAAGAGAAAATCACATCTCTCTTTTTTTTCTTCTTCCTTTTTTTTTGTGAGTGAAGCACAGCATTAGGGATCTTCATAAATGAATAGAATATAAATAGCAGAAAATATAATAACACGCGAACAAGAAGTCCGTTGAGTTAAAAAGCTTTCCTGATCGATTACCTTTAAAAAAAAAATCTAGATAAATAGAATAATGGTGCCTATGCGTGCTTGAGTCGACGATATATATATATAAACAGACAACAGTCAACTGAAGACCACCACCTAACCTTTTGCTATATTCATTTTTAGTGAACTTAATTTGACGTGGACTTCTTATATGCACAAGGCCGAGAAAACAATTTCATATTCCTCTCTATCTTCATGTTTATCAATGCCCAACAACACAAGCAAACGAGAAAAACATGACTTTATTAGTTTAATGTTTAAGTCGAGAGCTAAACAAAAATAAATAAATAATAGTTCTCAGTCCAAAAGAAATTAAAGGCAGGCATTGTCAAGCCACATAATATATTAGTTTAAGACCCCACCCATGCTTCATGGTAAACTGATCAATCGAGGAATTTAATTCCTTTTAGTGCTGGAAGGTGTCTGTCACGCAGACTGGTCGAACAGCCTATGCAAGTGATAACGTTCCTATGATCTATAAATAAATTAAACACGCAATGCTTTAATCTTGTCGTGAAATTAATAATCCCGACCATTGACGTGGATGACAAGCTGGCCATAGCTGTCCCAGCTCAGATTTTCCCTAGTGATGCATGCTTACGTGGCTCGTCACAACTCCGAGTCAACCAGTATCGGAAGAATGGTTATTCTACGAAATAATTAAGCTCACGCGTTGTTGTGACTTTTGAGGCCACTGTCATAAGTAATAGTCACACATACTGCCATCTTTGAATTGTCTCAGCCTCTCAGGCCAATGAAAAACACTAAAACAAGGCCATTCAAGGTGTTTGGAGAAATGATTATATAAAAAATTGCTTATATTATCAGGACGTGTAATGATCCTTGGATAATTTTTTTAATTGATTTTGCAAAATTGATTTACCAAATGAAAGAAAAATTAGTTTTTGTAAAATAGAATTTCAGGAATCAAATACAATTTAAAAAAATTATAAGTGTTTGGATGACTTAAAAAAAATCACAATTTTAGGTCTCATGATTGATTATAAGAGGTATCCAAACAGACAATTAACAAATGTAGGAGTCAGCGAGGTGTATGGGCATAGAAGGAAGAAATGAATTATGAAGGGTATTTGAAAAGCAACTTTTGAGGTGCCGTCTCAATAATTTTTTAAAGTACATTTAAATCGTATCGCTTTTGTTAGATCTAATAAATAATTGCACCTCTTAAATTTATTTTTGCCTGACACAAACTGAAATCCAAACGGCTGGCTGCTGAGTTTTGAGTTTTGACCACTCCATCCTCGTCCTTATAAAATGGTCGAAGCAACATGACTTCCCCAAAGCCAGGCACAAAAAGTCTAACTCCCCAAATCCTGTTACTCACGGAACAGCCCTTATACATGGCTCCTTCTCCTCACGTAACGACCACGATTCCCACTCCCAAAAGCCCAGCAGAAATCGCCGTCGACGGAGGCACCGCGGCCCCTATCTCAGGCTTACATCAGGACGTAATTCTCGCTCACATCCTGACCCGCCTTGACGGCCCCTCACTTGCATCCGCCGCCGCCACTTGTTCCGGTCTCTACGCCCTATCGTCCCAAGAAGATATCTGGGCCAACCTTTGTCACTCGACGTGGCCTTGCACCAGCTCTCCACGCATCCGTCACGTCATCCGGAGCTTCCCCAACGGTTCCCGATCTTTCTTCTCCGATTCTTCCACTATTCCCAGGCCTATCGCCACCCCTCCTCGAAATTCGCAAATAAATCTCGACCGCACTCCAGAGCTGATCTCTGCCGTCGACCTTTATTACCGCCGGCAACTCCTATTTTCAAGAGTGGTGGAGACCGAAACAGTCTCCGATTGGTTTAGGTGCTCGCCATTCCGGGTGGACATGCTCGAACCGAAAGACGTGGTACAAACACCGACGAGATATCCGGAGGGCGAGGACGCGTGTCGGGAGCTCGGGGAGGAGCTGAGGCTGAGCTGGATAGCGATAGACGCGAGGGGAGGAAGAGCGGTGAACCTTTCGAGCCAGAAGCCGGTATCAGTGCAACGCCACTGGCTGAGCGGGGAGGTGGAGGTGAAGTTCGCGTCGGTTCTGGCGGGTGAAAAGGGATCGTCGTCAGAGTTAGCGTTGTGCAGCGTGTCGGTGACGTGCGTAGGGGCGGAAGGAGGGGAAATGCAGGCGAGGGAGGGGAACTTGCAGATGGAGGACATGGACGGAATGAAAATGAAGGGGAGGGACAGTCTGGTGATTTTACAGAGGGCGTGGAAGGGTAAAAGGGAGAGTAAGAATGAAGGGAGGGAGGGATACCGAATGTTTGGGGAACGGAAGAGGGAGAGGAAAGAGAGAATGATGAGGAGAGAGGGGACGCTGGACGTGGTGTGCGTGAGCCTCGCTACGTTGTCGTTTGTGGGACTCTTCTATGTTTTTGCTGTGTGTTGACCTTTGATGGGCAGAGACAACAGAACGGAACGCGATCGTTTACGTCATGAAGGTCCAAGAGTCCGAAGCTTCCTTGGATAGGAATGAGAAACCGACGCTTCCTATTCAATTCATCCCTTGAAACATACTGTATCACGGTAAACAGCTGAGACGATCTCGTTGCATCATTCCATTTCTTCTTCTTCCATTGTAAAACTAGGAGCTGAAAATTCCTGCATCAAAGTCACTCACTGGACCAGCTCTTGGATTGGAATGCGGGGCACAGATATACGGATTGTCCAGTTCAATTTCAGTAGAGTATATCATAAATACCACTCTACAGTTATTAGTAGTTGTTACTGATTTATGTGCCGTTATTCTTCCAACGTAAAACCAAGTTCTAAAATTCATCCTAGAGTACGTTAATTGTAAGTAGCCATGATCGCAGACTTGAAACGTCGTCCCAGCCTGATACACATACTCTACTACATATTCTTCTTCTTCTTGCTTGTTGCCAGCACAGCAGGTATGATCTATCTATCTTGAAAGGCTAATAAATTCATGTATTGCAAACCGAGGCTCATAATGGGTGGTCATAATGTCTTTTACGTCGGCGCTGCAGCACTTCACGTGGCAGCGAGCGAAATGTTGTCACTTGTTGAAGGCAGTCCGGGGAAAGCCCCTCCTGGCCCCCCATACAATCGTGGCAAAAATTTATACAATCCCATACATGAACATGTTTACATTTCTAATTTTAAGGTACGAATTAAATTACTTATGTGACAACACATGTCTACGAAACGAGGTGAGTAGGAACCGAGAGATGTCATAAATGTGTTTCAAGGAACCAAGTCAATTTTTCGTAGAGATGTTTAAGTGTTTCAATGCCAAATCCGCAGGCTTTACGATTCTTGCGCATTTTAATGTCAAGTCAATTTATTAAGCCGACCGTGTCGGAACCACGTTCCTATTATCAAGTCACATCATCAGCCCCTGTGCTCGATCTTTTAGTACTTGGGTAAGTGTAGGCCTCCTACTGAAAGGGAAATCCAACGGAATGCCTTTTGTTACGATATCGTTATCCTTTATTACTTTTAATTCTCACACAACGTAGGTGGCAGTTTCAAGTTTCAAATCATTTTCACTCTTTCCACTCGGTAATCTGAATCTAATTTCACTTTAGGGAACGACTCAAGTCTTGTAAAATCTTCACTCCAAATTAAATATGTCACACCCTTCACCAATCTTTCTCAATTTTATTTTCATTATCTCTAAATCTCCCTTGATTCGTGATCATTAAGTATACAAGGGACTTCAGTTTTTTCTCTCTCTTGATAATTGAGGGCTTTAGGCCGGGTCCTTGATGCACGTAATTTGAGGTTTTAAGTCCAATCTATTTGGAGTTTCCGTATCACCGGGACTTAATTCATAGGCTTAAGCCAAGGGGGCTGCATTAACTAATCTTTTCCGACAAGAGCTGTACAATGTATCAAGACGCAAGATCACATCTGCACCAAGAAAATACGTTGAATCATGCATGATTGGTGGTATAATATCTTAATTTTGATTATGAAATTTTAATTGACATTAGAGGTCGATTTAGTAAAAATTTAAGGTCCTAAACACTTATTGATACTGACTTGAATTTGATGGGATTTTTTTCATGGTAATTGAAATTTACTAGATAATTATTTGAGGAAAGAAAATTTATCGAAAAAGTTAAAGTTTAAGGATAGGATATCAAGCAACGATATTTAGGGAAAAAAGGGAAAAATTAATAAGCTTAAATGTGATTCAATAAAATTATGTAAATTATTTTCTTACTTGAGAAATCATAATTATTTAAATGTTATGAAAATTTATATTTGAGCAACAACAAAAAATAGACATTGAGTTTACTCATTTAAATTTTATGAGAATTTTGAAAAATTATAGAAAAATATGAAGAATGATATGGGGATTTGAGATCATGATACAAGATTGTTTTTATTTTAAAAAAAGTAAAAAGTAAATAAAATTCATACGTAATAAATTTTATATATATATATAGAGAGAGAGAGAGAGAGAGAGAGAGAGAGCAAATGAAGAGAAGAAACCGATAAGGAAAGAGCAGGGGGGGAAATGATGTAGAACCCAAGTGCCCTTAAAACCCACACACGTGACACACCATGTTATTTTAATCACTTCTCCCTCCACAACCATCAGTGTCGTCTTCCCTTCCCCGAGAGAGAGCGCGAACGAGCTTGGTTTCTCCATTAATGGAGGTATTGATATTTTTGAGCTTCATTTCGTAGTCATTATCTCTCCCAATCATAAAAGTCCGTTTATCAAAATTACTTTACGCGATGAGGGCTTTCTAACAATATAGATATTGAGAGAAATAGAACAAGTTTAGAGATTAAAACTCGGAGCCAGTTTTGAGTTTCAGCAATCGGGAACTGTAGAATTATTCAGATAAGTGACTCCTTAAATTTAATCAGTTTTGTTTGTTAAATAAGGTTAAATTTTTACTTCTAGATATGTTGAAATTGAACCCTAAGCATAAAAAGAGGAATTTTGATTTTTTGAGTTAATTAATACTTGGAATTCAGGATAATTAATTATGGATAACTTAGAAATACTTGTTAGAATTTGATTATATGGTTAAATCATAAGTTTGGATGATTTTTCTATTTATAGGAGAATTAATGTGAAATTTTAGAGTATTTTTTGTAAGAGTAATTTGAACATTGTTCGGCTAAGAAATTATTTTGATAAAGAATTTCAAGTAATAAGGATCCTATGTGTAAATTTTCAGGGTAATTAGATTTGATTTAAGTCACCATTAAGTATTCGAGATTATTACTCTAAAAATAGAATTTTTGACATAATAATAATGGAAAATTGTGGGCATTCTAATATTTTTAAAAATGATTTGAGGAATGGTATGGTTGTTGTTAGACATGAGAATTTTGATTTCCTAGTTGAATTTGGAGTTTTTGGAAATAGTTGGAGTTAGAAGTATGGTTTATAGTTTTAGGTGGATTGATGGAATTTAATTTAATTGAAGTAGAAATATGCTTGACGGTAGATTAAGAATAATATTGGTTGATTCGTTCGGGGACAAGCTTTGGAACTTAGAGTTTGAAAGGTTGAATGAGAAACTAAATTATGGGGTTTTTGAATATATGGAGCTAAGAGAGTAATTTATTAGTTAAAGAGGATTATTTGGATCAAATTTAGTTGGAAAATTGATTGAATTTGATATACTAGAATAATTTTAGAGCTTAATTTGGGAAATTGAGAATTTTAAAGTAAGTTATGTTAATAAATGGATTAATCAGGAATTTTATTGATGTTATTGTTAAACATTGTACATTGAATTTGAATTGTTATTTGACGGTCGGATTTGTGCACGCATGCGAATTAATTTGAGTTTAGAGAAGAGATAACATTAAATTATTCTTTGTTATACTGGGATGTCTACTTTTTATTAATATGTCTATATAATTTCACTAGGAATGTTGTGCCCACTGAGGGTTTGTTTGATTGATTTCTAGACTTAAAGTTATGTTGTTAACTATCTAGTATACTTATGTGATATTTGAATTGTTATATGATTATTTTTTCTTTCAAGTGTGCTAGTTGTGTTGAGTGATGATTTGACTGTGGAGATGATTTATGATAGTAGTTTTATCCTTTTGAGCATGCTTGTTGGTTTTGAGAATTGAATATGATACAGTTTGGTTTTTTTTTAAGCATGTTCGTGTTTTTAAAACTTAACTTTTAGAATGTGATTTAAAGAGGAAATAAGGTGATTGATGTATATTTGTTGCTGTTGTTGTTATGTTGGAGATTGAGGATTGATTATCCTTTGCCAGATAGTACACCTCTATTATGTGCATAGTCATTGGCTTTATTTTCTTGAAGTTCCATATTACCCTAGTTTGAGTTTTGGGATGATGGGCACCTCTTTTATAGAAGAGAAGTCCTACTCTGATGGTAATGAACATTTGGTCGAGTGTCTCCATAGTTTAGGCTCTAGCTAGTGGTAATAAAATGTATGGGGTGGGACATAAGGGTGTGATCAAGATAAGCATCACTTGATATAATTATTAATGTGAATTGTTTTGATTATGAAAAATTGACATTTCCCTATTTGAGAAATAGTTTGTGAAAAAATTAAAAAAAGGAAGTATATGTATTTAAATATGATTTGCAAACTAGTTTTTAATTGATATGCTAGTGTAAGTTGGAACAATCAATTGTTACCTAGAAGTTAGATCTCATTTGTTACCTCTTATTATTTTCAAGTGAGTTATCTGTTAGAGTTTTGGGGAAGGTGCTAGAATAATGAGCATAGGCTTCTTTTTCCATTTGGCTTGGCATATGTGACAGTTTTATTATTCCATTACCATGACATAGGATCATTTCATATAAATATTTAATTTTAAATAAATGTAGGATTTTATCTGAACTGTGAAATAAGGAATTCTTGAGTTGAGTCTATATATATATATATATATATATTTGCGTTATCTAGGAGATATTGAAAATTATTGTTGGGCTTGTTAGTATTTGTTTTGTGGCTTCAAATTCTCCAGGCCCAATTGGTTTTGTGTTGGAATCCCATTTGATAAATTGTTTATGGGAAAATTTTATATGAAATTTGGAATGTTACATATGGTCATAACATTTCTAGAATTAAAAAAAACTCAAAAATCAATGTTAACCTTAAACGACAAACAAAATCTCCTTTAATTATCATTATATAAAGCAGAAAGCACAAGACACACACCACATATGTAGGTCATATATATTGAAGAAGTTTATAAAAGCAAGATCTTCAAGCATACCATCAGTTACAGAAGTGGCAAATGAAGATGACTCTAGAACATGAATACGGTGCAAACAATAATATAATAAAGGGTTAAAGGATAAAAATCCCTTGAAATTTTTTTTATAGGGGTGCTTGATATCCTAAACTTTTATTTAGAGCAATTTTTTCTCAAAACTTTCAAAAAGGACCAATTTTACCCTACCATTAAATATTGGATTAGTTGACCGTTAAATGTAATTTTGACTAGAAGAAAAATTGACATGGCATGCTGACTAGACTTCTCCCCCTTCTCCCTCTTTTTTTCTCCCCCTTATGTTTCTTACTATCTAAAGAAGCAAATTGACACTAACTTCACTTCTAATACATTAAGTTATGAGCTTTCAATAGTAGAATAAATCATGTAGTCTATCTAATAAGGCATTATTACAGACATCATAAATCCATTTCAACTACGTATGAAATGATCCAGCCAAGTACAGTGACACCAAATGCAAGTTAGCTTGTGATTTTGAAAAACAGAACATACTGAGTGCCAGGAAACAACTATAATAATCTCATAGTTCAAATCATAGATTTAGAAATTAAAGAGGGTAATTGCCCATCTTTCCCTCACTATTTCTTATCTTTATCCAATTTCAGCTATTATGATAATGCTTATGACGTGTATGATAGATTGGAACCTGTATTCAAGTAGGAGCATATTGGCTTTCCATCACAAGCATATCCCTGTGGAGCATTTCTTTAATCCATTGAGTGTGTGGCAAACTCCCTGTGGAGATTTTGAGGCACGGCCTAACGATAAAGAAGGATTTAGCGATAAGGTAGTTGAGCTCAAACTTGGTAAGGTGAAAGTGTGGTTAGATGAAAGTAAGGTGTTTCACCTAAATTATGCCTTTTCCTTGTGAGGGAAGGTCAATAAATGTAA